GTCCACTCCATCCCTCCCTTCACTCTTTCCTCATCTCATCTCATTCATTCATTTCTATCTCTCTCTCTCTCTCTCTCTCTCTCTCTCTCTCTCTCTCGTCCACCCAGCGCTTTCTACTCGCCTACACACATGTGGCGCCAACCACCACCTTGACTATACAAGACGATTACACCTTCCGACAATTGCATGATCCGCCCTTACATCGTAACTCTCCGGGTGATCCGCCCACGTCACGGGCTCTCCGTGTCCAATACACGGCAACCAACAATAACAAACTCGTGAACGTACAACAAAGCGCACAGAACTCGTTCGATGTCAGGCGAATGTCTCTGCGAGCAATTTCCGTTGTTTGCCGTGTAAAACACGCCGCTCGCATATTGGATTACTATGCGATGTTTGGGTTTTCCACCACCCACCTCCCTCGAAGTGCCCACACAACGTCGTGTTTGTGTTTGTCCATCTCACGTACGCGCAGGTGTTCCAGTTTAACTTTTGTTATACATGGGATAATATTTCAAAAATGGGGTTAACCATTTTTGAATGCGTCGTTGCGCACGTGCACGCGAGTTAAAGTCGACCATTCATCATTGCCTTTCAATGGCAAGACACGCAAAAACGACAACGCCGGGGTTACCGCGCCGCCCATCGTATACGCGTCGCGAGAGAGAAAAGCTCATTAAACTTTTTAAATGAACGTTGAACGGACCATGACACCCTCTCGGGTCTTATCTCTGACCTTCGAGGGCCCCCACGCTCATAAATCTAGAACTGATGAAAAGCAATATTTCAACGGAAAACGTCGTTGATGTGCCGGTTCTTTATCGCTATAGTTATCGCTGTAATTATTGCCGGAATTAAATATGTCAACACTATCTCGCTGTAGTTATTGATGCTTTGTATAACTAAACACTCTACACAGAACGCATCCGTGCTTTCGTATAGGTCATCACGTACTTCGCCGGCGTTTATTCGCATCTCATTGCGTTCTCAATAAACATGGTAATGATGGTGTGTGTGTGTGTAAAAAGAGGCATATTGTCTCGGGTACGGTCAAAGACTCTGCACGGGCGAGGCTGCGTGAGAGTTTAAAGATAGACACGCGCGTTTAAATCTCGAGTTCAATCGCAAGCAATTTATTTGTTCATTGTATTAGCATCGGTTCTATTGCCGCGACTCTTTTTTAAAGCGGCTAACCAAGTGTTGCGTTCTGTTGCGCGTCGTTGCTGTTTTTTCTCCGCGCTTCAACTCGCACCCCCTGCCAAGAATATGCACCTGTGGTCGTGTATCGCGATACAAAGTGACTTTCGTTAATTCGAGCTATAGACTTCGGCGCCATTTCTCTAACCCGCTTGTTAAGTAGAGTGGAACCCAGGGGAGAGAGACGTCGAGGAACGAGGAGGTGGCACACACGCAAGCGAGAAGTGGTAGACACACACCCACGCCCTCCCCCTCCCCCCGCCCTACTGACTCCAGCCCCCGCGTTGAGGCCTACCCCTCCCGGCCCGGACCGGCCATCCCCTCCCGCCCGTATCCGCTGCGAACACGGCTTGTCTAAGAGCAACAGATCGGGTGACCTGGGCTGCCAGCGTCTGACCGCATTGCGCGCTCAGCCCTTTCGCCGTGTTTTGGCCCCGTGCAAACAGCGAGGACATTTATAACTCCGCGATAGCGAGCGGCATTCTCACTAACACACACTGCACTCGACGCATCACACGCATGCCTATTACGGGGTGAGGTGCCGGCCGATTCCCCTCCCCCCATATAGCAAACATGCATCATTGATACGTTGATGCCTGTCAGTAAGGCCGCGCCGTGCGCCTGCCTCGCAACGAGGCCGTACGTCACGTGCGCTCCACACTCGTCAACGAGTCGTCAACTGTCGTCGTCGTCGTCGTCCGCAGCCGACGCTTCTGCGAACCGTCCGTCCGCTTGTGACGTCCATCGCTGACGAAACAAAAACGCGCTAATTTAGAGAGGTTATGTATCTCATGTCGACTAAGCGCTGCGACGGCACGGACAAAAAAGACAAAATGGTGCTACTGATTGGAGGAGGCCCTGTGAGCTGTTACGCGTTTGATGGCCGGCAGTATAATATGTAGTCCGCGCTCCGCCTGACAACACACACGCTCATTGGCTGGCGGCCGTCACGTGAGTGACGCTTCATTTGCTCAATGAAATTGTCAGCGCGCTAGCCCCTTGGCAGAGCGTCATAAAAATAAAGTTGTGGCAGTGAGAGACGGTTCGGATCGGCCCGCTTCCATCATCGGCCGTCAAGATAGTGTGGCACGAACCACCTGGGGTTATTCGCTGAGATCATACCATAACATACTACGCCACTCGTGTACGTACGTATCCACACTGGAATCAAATGTGATCGAATTACCGGCAGCTTGAGCTGTTTCGTCATGCGTATCGTTTAGGCGCTCGAATGGCGTGGGCATGTGTCGTGTGCTTGGTGTGTGATGCCCTATTTGATTGTGATGGAAGAGGACAGGCCAGCACACGCGATACGGCCTGAATCGCAACACCGCGGCACAACTAAGACGCAACAATCCGTTAGATGTGATCGCGTGAGTGTGGAGCGGGGATCTGACGTGCAGTAGGATCCCAGCAGCGGATTGCTAACACCCGCTCTGTGATTACATAAACTCGAACCTCGTCACACTAGCGTGCGAGAGACGGCGTCGCGGGCCTGCGCGCCCATCGACTCGAGGACGCTCCGACCACCCGAGTCCAAGCGAGCCATATCTCCCGCGCTTACAAGTACCAATTAACGCGGCAGCCCACCCATGCTCCCACGTCGCTCGACAAGCGATGATCATGTTATCCTATACCCCTTTTGCTATTGATAAGTAAAGTTACCGTCCGCTCGCGCCTCCGACCACCTGCGGCGAGCGAGCGGATGTCATGTTTCTTATGAACTCTCTACAGCCGTAGAGGCGAGCACGACACACGCACCGCACCGCACGCGACCGCACCTGTGGCGTCTGGGCCAGGTAGTAATCAATCAGGGGCAGCTCGGCATAAATGATAAATGTCGCACCCGGTATCGTAATATCGCCGTGCAATCTTGCACTAGCATAATAAAAAAACCCAAAAATACTATCCGCGGGGACCCAGATATACATACTACTCGACATAGCGTGCCTCCTCCGCTGAAAGACGGCAGGGTAAGGGATGAAGGACAGAACAGACAGGAGTGTGAGCAGCCTGCCTTCTATCGCTGCATGCGGGTCTACGCGTATTGTGTGAGCTGCGAAACAGCGCGAATGGTAGGTTTCCTAACGCATCGAGCATTATTTCTCTTGTTCTGTGGCTATCTGCTATTTATGCTCTATATCTGTGGCTCTGCGTGTAAGCACTTGCGTCGTGGTCGAGCAGGGCTGAACTCGTGCCCTGTATGTACTTCGCTCGGCCGCGTAGACAGCGGTGAACCGGAGGCGGGCGCGGCCAGGTAGCCATGGAAAATACTCGCCACGCTCTCTCTCGCTCACCCATCCTCTGCTCTCTCTCTCATCATCTCTATCCTCTAGCCGGCGGCCAATGGTCCGCGGTCACACGGACAGCCGGCAGTGCCTTCTCTCTCCTCCTCTCGTCCTCTTCTCTCTCTCTCTCTCTTTCTCTCTCTCTCTTTCTTTCTTTTCCTCTCTTAATTCCCTCTCTTTTCGTTCGCTTGCTCTCCGTCGCCCTGTCCCTCTCTCTCTCGCTCTCTGACACTTTATTTAGCTCTCCCACTCTCTCGCTGCCTCACGGTCTACCCCTTCACTCGCTTTCCTTCTCTCTTTCCCTTCTTTATCTCTCTCGTGTACGCTCTCTTTAGCTCGCTTTATCTCGACCGTGGTACAGTCAGATTAGATGTATGCGGCCGTGAAATGTGGGCAAAATATTAATATTAAGCTGATGACCAATATACCGGTAATTTCCAGATTAGGGATATAGAATAATATCGCGAAATATAATAAGATATAATTTATGGCCTTTCGCGAATAACTCGCTACCATGCTGGCAGCTAGAACGGTGGGCGAGGCCGGGGCGAGAATGTGTAACCATAGAGGCCGCACCGGCTTGATCTGCCGAACAGGCAAGTGATAAATAAATATATCCGAGTTGCATTAAACGTGATGATAGCCATGCTGTGATGGTTCACCGAAGCACGCCGCCGCTACGTGGCCGTATACACCGACCGTCAACCAATATGTGCATTTAATACCTAACGACAGCGCGTGCTGTAGAAAAATCGCGTAAAAAATCTAAGATCAACAGAACGCTGGAAGAATGCGTCCACCAGACAGACGCGGTGAAGTTTGTCGTCGCTACGTCGCGTACACGTCGGCGATAGCAGACGCATGCGCACGCGCGCTGATATCAAATTGAATCGGAGGATGTATTATTATAATCGATATATAATCGGATACGAATTAAATAGTATATATATATAAAATAATAATGTAATATAAATATGCCGATCTATAATCGATCGGGCTCGATGTATACCAAGGGTATGTAATACTAATAGAGATGTATTATGTATAGATCTCAATTGTGTACTCTTGATGTATACGCACGATGCAACGGTGTGCACGCGTGTAATTAGATTTGCGTCCTATAGATGGCTCTGCTTACATGCCGCGTTGTTCTCTTGCTGTTGCAGGTTGCTTCAGACTGCCGTGTTGTTGCAGTTGCTACTGATCAATTCCGTAAGTATCTTCGGCACTCTAGATGCGTCTATACTACTACTACTACTACTACAGCAGTCCAAACTGTAACAGACCCACAACCCAGACCCACACACCTATCTTTTGAGCGCATCTCTCGCCGATCGCAGTAGGTTTGGGCCAAGTTAACAACGACCGAAGCTTGTTCCAGATTTTAAGCTCGTCGTATGATGACGATTAACTCGTGCGAGGCGACGGTTTAAGTTGTAAGAAGACTTCGGGGTTTTCAAGTAGATCGGGAGCTCGGCTCCCAACGCCTGCTGCTCTCCTTGTGAAGTATGCGGGCACTCGGTTACGGAACGCGGGCGGGGTTTCATAAGTGCGTTCCAGCTGTCTACTCACGTCTCTACCTAGCTCTGTTACGCAGTGTTGTGTGCAATCGCGTTGGATATATTCACATTGGATATATAGAGCGCAAGAACAGTTCAAGCATATTTATAACACGCGAAACGTGGCTTATGTGTTCTTCATATCTCGTGGTTAACTTTGTAGATCTTGCATCTGTCGGCAACTTTCGCCATAGTTCTACCAGTCGATTTTTAACTCGCGTCTAGCGCGCGCGCACAGCGCTTTTTTCCCGCGCGGCCCGCGACCCGCCGTATTTTCGTTTCCCCGCCATCACAGACAAGGTGTGTGCTCCCGCGCGCGGCCGAGAGAAAACACCTATGCCGACTCCAAAATAAATACTCGCTTCTTAAAACAAGCTGCTGCGCCGGCGGGACGGTGTGCTGCGCCGCGCTTTACTCCCGGGTCTGGTTTTCCCGCGGGATGTACGGGGTTGCAGGTGACGATGGTACTGGGCCAGCCCGCACGAGCCGGTCGGCTTAGAACTGCCGACAGGCTCGCGCGCGTCTGCCTGCAATAATATACAGTAGGGACACACCTTAATGTGCGCGCCGCTGTCGGCACCGGAGACTCTACAACAAACCCGTCGTAAGAAAATATATAGCCAGTTTTAATTTGACTTCGGTCGGTTTTTACTCGATACGGCCTAGCTGGTGTTTTGCATGCAGTAATAACTAAAGGCCTATCCGCGTAGCCTCTGTAAATACGACGTTGTTGTCGTATTTAAACTGGTATACCGCCGCGTGTTTGTGAAAATTATATTACGCGTATATATACGCACGTACGTGCGTGCGTGTGTGTGTGTGTGTGTGTGTGTGTGTGTGTGTGTGTGTGTGTGTGT